CACAAACTGTTGGTGCTCTATAAATCCATAATTATAATAATTATTATTAGGGATGCACTGATGCCGGTTTTTCGGTATCGAGTACGAGTACCGATGCCTCGCTTTTGGTACTCGCCAATACTGGGTACCGATACTGGTCCTTCCGCTGGCATGCAGCAGGCTTCCCGGGCAACCAGGAAAGTGGGCAGGGGGAAAATGACATACCACTTAGCTTCCTTTTTGCCTGGGAAGCTGGCTCCATCTTGTTTGTGCCGACTTGATTGCGATTGGTCAGAAAACCTTCCCAACCAATCAGCGTCGAGCCATCTTCATGGCCAATCAGGAAGCCGGGCAACAAGTAATGACCCGCCTCCCAGCTTCCCGATTGGCCAGGAAGCTGGCTCCATGCTGATTGGCTGGGAAGCTGGCTTCCTGGCCAATCAGCATGGAGCCGGCTGTTCAGCTGGCTCCAGGCTAACTGGCCAGAAAGCCGGCTTCCCAGCCAATCAGGAAGCCAGGAGGTGGGGTCATTACTTGCCGCCCAGCTTCCTGATCGCCCAGTAAGCTGGCCCCATGTTCCCCTACGGCACTGCCGGTCAGAGGAAATCTTCCTCTGACCGGAAGTTCCGGTATCGGGGACGGTAGCAGAACATTTGGCCGAGTACTCGCCCAAATACTCGGTATCGGCACCGATCCCAATACTAGTATCGGTGCATCCCTAATTATTATTATGTACAAATCTGTATGTTCCTCCTTTATCTTCAAAGAAGTAGATAGGCAATGTTTAGACTTTTGCGGCAGCTGGGCGGTACGAAACTGCATGGCCCGCAAAAGAGTCCAAACACGATTTTTTGGCAGACTCCGCATGTTCGTGGACTTAGTAATAGATGCAAAAGAGTGGAATCCTTGCAGATGAAAGATTTTATCGTTTTCGTGACGCACGGTCTTTTGCGCGGGAAACACAAACGCTATATGTGAATGAAGCCTTATAAAGCTCATTACCACCAGTCATGTGTTTGTATAAATGTTTTAAATGCCTCAAAAAGTACGATAGACTTTGATTGCAATGGGAAACAAACTTTTTATTCTTTGGAGCAACAGAGAGCTTAGGCCCTATTTACACATGTGTATTAAGCTAACGCGTTATTGTGCGTTATGGCACGCTATGCTCAGGCAATCCATTCATTTTCAATTCCTGAGGTACGAAAGTTCCAAAGGGATACAGCCCAGAGATGCTGGGACTTCAACACTTACTCATACACAACAATAAAAGTGAAAGTCAGTCATTTGGAAAGCCCACAGGCTCTGGTTAGGCAGCTCACATGGAAATAGGACTACTCTCCAGTGGGTACCCAGGAACATTATAAATCTAAAAACATTAGACACTATATATTTGTCCTGTTTTATAAATCATTTCAGCTCAACTCCAGGGAGATTAACATTTTTTGCTTGCATTGGGGCTGCCCCTGCACTGCAAAAGAGAAGTGCTTGTTTATGCCTAGGGGGCAAGAAAAGGCTATTTTACTTATCTGATCCCCGCTCCCGTTGGTTCCCTCTAGGCTGTTAGACTGGTCCCCACAGCCTCTTCTCTCCTCTGCTCTGGCAGTCTAAGGACTGTTGACATCATCAAGTACAAAGCAGGCTCCATAGCCCTGCTGTGTACATGAGGACAAGGAGGGACAGTCCACTGCCAGAGGAGAGCGTCTACTGCCAGGTGAGCTGGGAGGAAGTAAAAAAGCCTTTTTCTGTCCCTTAGGCATTCATTAGTAGTTAAGCAGTGCAGGAGTGAGCCTCACTGCAGGGGAACAGTTTTCATTTCCCTGGAGTTGGGCTTTAAAGGAAGTCTTTGAAAATCTGAAACGCGTTGCCAGCTAATGTCGGTTTTATACCAATACAATTATTAAACGTTTTTGGATTCTCTGGCTGTTCGTTTGCTGCTCTCATTACACTTTATTTTTATAATGTATTATAGGTAGTTATATAGATCTTTTACATGCTGCACATTCAGTTCCTGCCCTCATAAAGCTTACCATCTAAAGTCACATACAGGTCCAATTTAGACAGGAACCAATTAACCTACCAGCATGTCTCTGGAGTGTGGGAGGAAACCCACGCAAGCACAGGTAGAACATGCAAACTCACACACACGTATGCAATCCATTGCCCAAAGTTCCAGGAAAACGCACTTTAGCACGGGAATGCATGCGTACGGGAATGTTTATGCACAATAGCACATGTACGTGAGCAGGCAGAAACACGCTCGTTATCGTACAATTGCACGCTTATTAGCGTGCACACTATCCTATTAAGGCCTTGTTCACACCAAATGCAGACCAGATCCGGTCAGGTTTCTGCACACGCAATGTAGTGGGTTGTGCCGTGTTTTGGATGCGTTTTTGTAAAAAAAAACATTTTTTTTTAAGTGTAACATGGGCTTTCAGGCACTTGCATGCGTTTTAGATGCGTTTTTGATGCGTTCCAGAGCAGGTAAAATAGGGCTTGCCGCATTTTTTTTCATCCGGTCTGGATCCGCACGCTGCGTTGTGAACTGGAGCTCAAAATACCATAGGAATACATTGGACGCAGTTTTGATCCGGTCTGCACCTGCTCTGGTCCGGATCTGCTCCGCACTTGGTGTGAACAAGGCCTTAAACAGACATGAAGCCATGACCAAGTTGCTGAGTGGTCTTCAGTTTGTCCCTGTGTGCCCTGTACTCTGTTCTTGTATCATGAAGTCCTGTGTATGAACCTGGCTTCTCCTCCTGATTCGGTACCTCTGCTCTCTGATCTCCTGTGTATGACCCTGGCTTACGTTTCCTGACCCTGCTCCTGATCTGTGATTCGGCACCTCAAGATTCGGCTCCCTGTGTATGACCTCGGCTTGAACCTGACTTCCCTACTGGTCTGCCACTGGGTGGATCGCTCCGTCAGCATCCTGAGCAACGACATCCTGCCAGTGCTCCGTTGGCCTCATAGCCGTTGCCTGGTCTGGTTTCAAGAGGTATGTCCCGGTGTCATCTCGGTCACCAGCTGGTCCGACGCACTCAAGCACCTCCTCAAGAACCGGCTAGCCACCAGTATCGGCACCTGTGCTCTGCTCTGTCCTTACATCCCCAGTCACAACTTCCAGAGGTGTGGGACAAGAGGTGCATGGGCAGCCCCCTTCTCAGCTGAGTCTCCAGTCAGGTAGGTGATACCAGGATTCGAACCAGGGACACCCAGTGAAGCAAGGCAGAAGTGCTTTTGTCACAACCTGACCAACCTTCTTATCACTTGAATCCTACAACTCACCTCTGTTTGTTCTGGATCACACAACTGCCTGAACAGAATAACAAACCTTTAGGCAAGTCATTCCACACTTATGTTTTTCAACCGCGTTCAGCTGTCTGCCTCAACGAATTTGAATACCTTTCAAAGTGATGTGGGAAAACGCCTTTAAGAAGCCAAGATCTGTGTCAGTGCCTGTGAATAACAACTTATCAGGGATGCTTTTTTTGGTTGAGGTTCTGCAAAGTGCAAGCACACAGCATACTGGGACCACAATGACAAGATGATAATGCACGTTGACTTCTCCGTAGTTTGCATTATTCAGGAAGCGTATAACAGTCACAGATCTTGTATCTAGCAGTTGGGGATATGCACAGGAAGGACACTCTGTGCTGATTTTTACAGTCCATTAAAGCTAAAAAATAAAAAAAAAAAAAAAACCCCAGCCCCACGAAGCAGCTCACTATTCCGAAGTCACGCTGTGCAGAAAGATTCTTTTCTTTCCCTTTCAGCTTCTGATAATAATACTAATATAAAAGCTAGCTCCCTCTAAGTTATTCCTTGTGAGGATGGGGAACAGTTAAAGTCACACGCAGGGTCGGTCTCAAAGGTAAAATGTAAATTCCTGCACGTCTGCGCGAATCGGTCTCTCTCTCTTTCAGATGCCAGTGTATAGCTTCAAAGAGCCGAATGCTGCGGTTTTGAAAGCAACAAGTGTTTGGTTGTGAATCCCCAGACAGATGGGGGGGGGTTCACTGATACGCTATAAGCTGACGAATAAATCCATACTGAGCACTAGAGACTAAGTGTAACAAAACACGAGTGCACGGGAACTCAGCTGTCAACTGGTGTTGTCCACAGAATACAAATGATGACTTTCTTGCTGAAATTGTCAAAAGAGAATATTTGATTGGTGGTCAACACAGACAGTTCTTCCTTCAGTTCACATATGAAGCTGCACTCGTAATGGTACTACACCTTCCAATAACAGGTGGGTGCTTGAAGTGATAGTGTCGGGTGGTGCTGAACTAAAACCGGATCAAGGGCTACAAAGTCACCAGCACTTCAGACCTTTAATTATATCTCACAAATTAATTGTGAAGAACAGAGTCACAAACATACTGGGGGGAATTTACCAAAACTGGAGCAGACAAAATCTGGAGCAGCTGTGCATGGCAACCAATCAGCTTCTCTATTCAGTTGGATCAGTTAATATTTGAAAATGAAAGAGAGAAGCTGATTGGTTGCCATGCACAGCTGCTCCAGAATGTGTCTCCTCCAGTTTTGATAAATCCCCTTCATTGTATATACTGAGGTTTTGGGGCCTTGCATGGTCCCTTTATCAAGGCAACCAAAGTTTTTTTTTTGCTCAACCTGCGGGCTGAAAAAAATAGAGCAGATTCCTCCATCAACGCTTACGAGCATTGATCCCTTGATCCCTCTGGAGGGACAGGACCGAGAAGTGAGCGAGCGACGGTATGTGTGCGCTCACTTCCCGATCTATTGAGCTGACCTGTGACACTTTCATTGTCACACGTCGGCTCGAACTATGAAGCTGAGTGATTTTCACTCGCCTCATAGTTCTCCTTTAATGTTTTATCAAAGAGAGAGGTTTTGTTTTTCTGAAATTGCTTGCAGATTATGTAACCGACTCAAATAGCGCAGCCTTCTTTAGCTGCAGCCGTCACTTGTTTCCTTCTTCTATCTATATGAAAATAACACATATTTTACACAGGTAGTGCGAGTATTCTTGCCTGGTTCCCGAAGAGATTGAATCCATCGATGGCTTCAAGGGCAGCCTTGGCCAAGCCGAGGGAGCTGGAAGAAAAAGACAGAACAGAAGAGTTATTAGCACAATGCAAACCTCCTGTATGCCGAAAAAAAACAAAAAACTGGTCAATATCAGCGGGCTTATAATGTATAATTCAGCATGTACACACTGCGCTCGCTGGATAAACTTCTCTCTCATTACCGTGAGCTGTGAAATTGAATTCCAGTGGTCAATAGAAACACTTTACACAACAGTAACAGCCGAATCAAGAGATACATATGAAGATTGAATAATATTAGAGAAGAATAATTCAGGAGAGTGGTCCATGTGCGGTTGAAGAGCACCTGTCATACACCGCAGAGAAGTCTCTCATTAATTGTCCAGCCTGAAGAAAACCTTTATTGCACTGTGCATAAAATCCCACAAGTTGTATTGATTAGAGAATTATAGCTAGAAAACTGGGCCGCTCTGTGCTGTAAGTATCGCCGGCACTTATACGGCCACTCCAGCGGAATAATTAAATTCTCTTTTCAAACAGTTTTAAAGGCATTTGCCTTTATGCAAAGCTGACTGAGCCTTCAAATTCAGACCCTTCCTTCGATTCCAGGTTATTTCTGGGAGTCCAGGAAGTTGTTGAAAGTGATGGGCAGACGGAAGGCAGCACTCTATGGTATTATTATTCATTTTATTATTTTTTTTATGCATGTCGTTTTTATTGGATTTATAAGGCATGAACAGCAAAAATGATTACAATGGTATAGTGCAGTGGTGGCGAACCTTGGCACTCCAGCTGTTTTGGAACTACAAGTCCCATGAGGCATTGCAAGGCTCTGACAGCCGCAGACATAACTCCCAGAGGCAGATGCATGTTGGGATTTGTAGTTTTGGCACAGCTGGAGTGCCAAGGTTCGCCACCACTGGTATAGGGGGATACAATCCCGACTTGTTGGAAGCACACGTTAATCACCCGGTTTGGTACATAAAGTCAGATCGTTCAGATATAAATTAAATAGCCTATCCGGTGAACATGCCTAATCCTTGTCTAAATCCATGGTTACAAATGTAAATGTAAACATACAATTCACATCCTATTAACAGAACATATAAAAAAAAAACAAGTCAACACTGCATAAAGTAAGAATAAACGTGTCCATGAACATTGCTAGAACCATCAGTAGCAGGTACGTCAGCAATCGGAGTCTACCTTATTATTGAGGGACAGGTCAGACGTCAAGGGGTACCTTTTAAGTATGCTAAGGAGTTATTCGAAAATTAAGACAGGCGGGCAGGAGGACATCATGGAAGTATATTGCCTTTCTGGCTTCATGGGGGTCCCGCTAGTCATTTTATTATTATACAGGATTTATATGGTGCCAACAGTTTGTGCAGCGCTTTAAAAAAATGGAGGGTAACGGTACAGTTACAATACAATTTCAATACAGGAGGGCCCTTACAATCTTGTAGGTCTGCAAACACTTATGTGTAAATGCTTTGGACACAAGTCCATCACCCAATGCTAAAATTGGGCCAACATAAGGAATCTGTCAAGGGTGGACACCTCCGTGTTGCAACAATGACGTTTTTAGAAGAGCAGGTTTCAATGACAGTGATCTACAAGTATTATTTAGTGAGATTTAAGTGATAATTTAAAGAAACACCTCTGCAATCCCGCATCTGAACAGGAGAGATGTTTTCAGGGCACTTCAGTCACTTGTTTGCTCTTTCTTGCTCAAGCTGATTTCCATGGTAGCTCCAAAACCTGACCGCTGTTACCAAATCACTTGCATCTGAATCTACCTGTGGCTCCTCATATATCTCAGTGAAAGTTATGAATAATAGATGTGAGGATTGCTTTGCTGATACTGGTATCCAGCAAGGAATTGAAGGCCGAGAGCAGCAGAAACCTTTTCAGTTTTGGACCTAGTAGGGAAGGGGTGGTAATCTTGTCAAACGTTAAGTGCTGTTTGTGATGCCATTGGAGGGATTTCATTTGTTTCTAATAGTTCTTCAAAGGCTACATAATTTTTCTATTCCGTTTATCTGATTCTGATTGCCAGAAATCTGTTGATAATGACTTATCACAAATTAAACTTGCAAGGGGACAGCCTGATCTATAAGTTGATGGGTAACAGGAGCTACGTAGGGGGGTTTGCAGTTTGGAACTGTATACTATAAGGCCAGAGAACGGGTAGGAGGTGGTCCACTGACACTAGACCCAAGCACTGTTGCCACTCTGATTATTATGTGGAATGTTTCCTATTTTGAGTACTACTATCCCTTTAAATCTCAACTCCAGGCAAACAGCTGCCAACATTTACACAGCCAACTTGAAGACCTGGCCTTTCTCTACTGGACTTAAGCAATGGACTGCTAGGTCTTATTCCTGCCCTGCCCACCCTGTGAATGAACATTAAACAAGCAGCAGCAGCACACTGATGAGCTTATCATTTGTCATTCTGCTCTCTACTCCCTTCAGCAAATTTCATGATAGCACATGACTACTGCAGAAAACTTATTGGCTCCTTTTGCTGTTACTTCCGTTTCCAGTCTGAGCTCTGTGGTACAGTGTTATGCAAGAGGCTAACACCGGGTCAAATTCAGGTACTTACGGCTTTCACAAATACAATTAATTTGTACATGAACACATACATGATCACATTTGTGTTTTTTTTAAATCTGCTTAAACATCTTTTGACTTTAACAGACAATTCAAACATATCTACCAGTCACACATGGTTCATAGGCCTAATTTGTAGTATACTCCTATATGTGACATATGTATACACACAGCAAGATATGTTTAGGTAAAAATACACCAAAAAACAGAGCTCTTTGCACATGTTTAGCTGTCAAGATGTCACTCTGGCGTCTCCTGTGTTCACAGATCGCTGACATTTTAAACGCAGTTGGGACTTGGGAGAGAAAGTAACCGGCACAGAGTTTTTTTAGTTTAAGTAGGGCAACATGACATCAGCTGTTAATGTCACGATCGGGTTGGAGTGACATTTTGCCCACTCGATCCATTCTCACCGAATCTCAGGAGACAATCAGTTTGAAGAATAAAGTGCTTCTGCTGGAAAGAGTGTAATTTGTACGTTGCTCTTAATGGAGTGATCTGACAGCAGCGTGCCAGGGAACATACCTAATGCAGCATTGAGTGACAATAATTCTGCATTCTGCTATTGGTAACAGACCCTACACAATCCCAGGACCTTCTGTAATAATGCACAACAATAAGTTGATGAACTACTGCCAGGGGTCACTGCATTGCTTGTTAGCCAGGGATGAGCTTGGCCTTGTCCAAATTAAAATGAAAAAAATGCTATTTCTACAGTGTATCGCCAAATCAGGGGATGAAGCCCCTGTTGTGGTGAAACATGTGATTGGAGGGAGGGAATGCAGTCTGGCAGAGAAGTCATCTTCCATGAACAATAAAGCTTATTGAATGCAAAGGAAAAAAAAAAACCTGCGGTGTGTTGCTGTTTGTGTACCTTGTGAATTTTAGGAGTAGACACACCTTGCTTGGCCTTGGAACCCGTGGCTGGGAACACAAAGCCAAAGTCCACCTGGAGCAACACTAGTTCCAAGAACTAACCAAAGCAGGAGAGATGCAAAAAGTTATAGAAGAAAGTCCAATGTTTTAAGCGCTCTTCGGGGGGAGAGAAGGAGGTCTGGTGTCATGTGCTGGTCCTAATAAATCCGGATGGGGGTGTCCGACGTGTGTACTGGAAAAACAAAAGATGGAGAACGAAAGCACCACGACCTAGCTCAATGACTCAGGTGGCATTTGGCGGGGGGTATGAAGTATTGAACTCACCTGTTCACCTCAACTTCGTTCTCCATCTTATGTTTTTCCAAAGCAGGAGAGGCGTGTACATGGGAGGACTGTCTAAAGCCCATCTCTTGGGAAATGAAAACTTAGCACCCATTCAGCTATCCTTTTTTTTAACTCAACTAACGTAAAGTCCACCATGACATGCCCCTTGCCAATGCCTCCAGGAGTGGCGACTCGTGATCCAGTGTTGTAGTCTTTGTCCACCAGTCCATCACTGCAGTTCTAGAGCCTAGTAGGACCCTCCTGCTGGACAGCCAATTAAGAAAGTGTTCACATCACCCAGGCAGCAATATAGGCACCTGAAGAAGGACCATCTAACTCTGATGGAGAACTCAAGACCTGGCAAGCTACTAGACCCTTGGTTCTCAACTCTCAACTGGTCCTCAAGTGGGTCACGACCTAGAGTTTAGTGGGTCACCACATACCTTCTACTTTTGTAGGCAAGAGGCTCCTCAGCTTCCCCCCAGCACAGCACTGTCAGTTCTCGTGCCAGGCAGCCATTCATAAGCTACTCGGCGCTCAGTGTCAGCTTGAGGTGGGGTGGGCTGGAGCTATAGCTGCGAGGAAGCTCAATCCATACATACATTGCTTACAGCTCCCTCATGTGTCCTGTAGAGGTGCCTGGACCGGAGTGACGTCACATTCTGGCTCCCGGCACCTCTACAGGGTTTGCAAGATAGCTGTACAAGCAATGCACATATGGATGGAGCTCCATCACAGCACAGCCCACAGGCTAAGGCTGTACAAGCAATGCACATATGGATGGAGCTCCATCACAGCCCACACTGGACCGCAGGCTAAGGATCCACTCCAGTTCTGGAGAGAAACTAAGGTAGGGAGACGTATATGTGTAGTTTAGATGGTGTCTGTGGTTTTTGGGTGTAGGTTATTGTTTTTGAGGGCCCCTTCACACTAGTACAGTGCGCTCATCGAACAGTCCTGTGGAATTAACGCACTGTACCACGCAATCGCTCCTACGACGTGTTCTGTTGAGGGACGTGCGTTGCATTGCCATTCGTTTGAATGGTACACCAAACACACCTCCCACCCACAGTTCAATCACCAGAACGCGTGGTACCGCAATGCCGTGAGTTCCATTGCAGTACGGCTTGGGTCGCGTCTTAATGACCAAGGACAAATGTGCGTCCTGAGGTTACACAGGTTGAGAACCACTGTACTAGACCATGCATTAAGGTTTAAAAAAAAGGGGAG